AGACGACGTCTCGCTCAGAGATGAGTTTATTAAGTCATCTGTACGACAAAAATCTTTAGCTCTGAGCGAAAAATAGTGTGATAGAGGTATGAATTCATACGAAAGTCTTTGTAAACCTCAAACACATCTATCTCTTCCTCTACCCTATCACACATCTACCTCCACCTTAACACATCTACTCGATGTGCTAACTAATAAGCCTCCCTTTACCCCGTCCACCTTCAACACCTCAGCCACCCAGCCGTCAGCGACTAATAGCCTCATAAACCAGGCTAAATGCAACAGCTTAAAGGCTCCATCCCATTATCAGCTGACCATAAGATAACTATGGCGCTTCAAGGGAAGGGGAAGAGGCGCCTTGATGCTGGGGAAGGGCTCTAGAGGCAGAGAGTTAGGAGGTACCATCCACTTTCTTGGATCAAATTGATTACATGGAAGTTCCCCCAGGAGCTGTTATAAGGCTCTTGAAGATAGGTGTCTCGTCGTGAATATTAATAATAACAATGATGATGAAGATGATATAATAATAATAATAATAATAATAATAATATAATAATAATAATAATAATGGTGGTAATAATAATAATAATATAATAATAATAATAATAATAATAATAATAATAATAATAATAATAATAATAATAAATAATAATAATTAATAATAATAATAATAATAATAATAATAATAATAATAATAAATAATAATAATAATAATAATAATAATAATAATAATAATAATAATAATATAATAATAATAATAAAATAATAATAATAATAATAATTAATAATAATAATAAAATAAAATAATAATAATAATAATAATAATAATAAAAAATAATAATAATAATAATAATAATAATATAATAATAGCTTGTTCTACAATCTTCTTTTACTATGATTTCATCTACAGTGGGATCATCTTTTCCGTTTTTTTCCTTATTTTCCGCCTTTATTTTCTTTCTTTCCTTCTTATGTTATCCTTCGTGGTTATTCTTTGTTGTTATCCTTCGTGCTTATCTTTCGCAGTTTTCTTTCGTAGTTTTTCTTCGCGGTTATATTTCGTGGTTATCTTTCCTGGTTATCCTTCCTGGTTATTTCTCTTGGTTATCCTTCCTGGTTAACCTTCCTGGTTAACCTTCCTGGTTATTTTTCCTGGTTATCCTTCCTGGTTACCCTCCCTGGTTAACCTTCCTGTCCATTCTTTCACCGGTACATTCCTGGTTAATCCTTAACGTGAGGCCCCCACACTTGGACGTAATATTAACTTCCCAAAATAAACAATAGTTCTGTCCACTTAACTAACGACTTTAACTCGTGTATTTTTAATAATTTAAAATTACACGACACATAATATAACTGACACGTCATACAATATTTTCTCACAATTAACAAGCCTTCATGTACCGTAATGATCTGCTTCAACAATTTAATTCTCTGCTTGAATAATTTACCCTTAATTTCATCTATATACATGGATATATGTCTTCAGTGTATATATATATATATATATATATATATATATATATATATATATATATATTATATATATATATACCGATTGCTTTTATTTCTCTTCTAGGGAATTGAAATATTCTTGTCTGGTGGTGAAATGGTTACGTGCATCCTTAATGACCCTGGTACGGTAGATAGGCTTCAAACCTCCCCCATTAATCAACCTTCGTTTATGCGGTGAAGTTAAGACTCCTACTTTAAACAATCAGTTGTTTATGTCCTGTACATTTGTTGTGCTTTGTTTCTTTAAGGAGAAAAACAAGAAGAAGAACAACAACAACAACAACAACAACAAAAACAAACACAACAGAGAAGAAGAAGAAGAAGAGAAGAAGAAGAAGAGAAGAAGAAGAAGAAGAAGAAGAAGAAGAGAAGAAGAAGGAAGAAGAAGAGAAGAAGAAGAAGAAGAAGAAGAGAAGAAGAAGAAGAAGAAGAAGAAGAAGAAGAGAAAACAACAACAACAACAAACAACAACACAACAACAACAACAACAACAACAACAACACAACAACAACACCAACAACAACAACAACAACAACAACAACAGCAAGAAGAAGAAGAAGAAGAAGAAGAAGAAGAAGAAGAAGAAGAAGAAGAAGAAGAAGAAGAAGAAGAAGAAGAAGAAGAAGAAGAAGAAGAAGAAGAAAGAAGAAGAAGAAGGAGAAGAAGAAGAAGAAGAGGAGGAAAGAAAAGAAGAAGAAATAAATAAAGCCAATTAACATAAAATTTAACAAGTAATCATAACAATTATTCTTAACTTGTCGTGTATTTGCTGAACCTTTAATTAACTAATCTATATTTCTTGTTGTTTTCTTAATGTCCGTTTTAATTAGTATTTTATTAGGTAATTAACTGTCAACTTCGGCGTAAAATTAGTTGAAATATTTAATAGCCAGAACGATTAGCCCAGCGAGGCAATTATGAGTATTGGGAGCATCTGTGAGGCAGTTTATGTAGGTAATTATAGCGGACGGTGGATTGAGCCTGCACTCCTCTTTGCGATGTATGTCCCCTTAGCCCTTCACCTAAAGTAAAGTAATTACCATTCTCTCTCTGCCTGGATCTCTCTCTCTCTCTCTCTCTCTCTCTCTCTCTCT